CTCGCATCAAACTATTTATAGTCGTGGCGTAACAGATAGAGGGAACTGCAACGTCTCCTGCTTTTGTGCTGGAGAAATTGGCTGTGATTAACATTGGTCCTCCTAGCTGAGCTGCACCACATTCCTCACCTAACCACAGCTCCCTCTGTGCTCTTTGGCGCACGTCTGTCTGTGCATCTCCTGCCTTCCCCTTCCCCCTCCGTGAGCCCTTTCTGGATCAGCCCTGTTCGCCTTGGCTGTGGTAGGGTGCTCGCGACAAGGGGCATTGGTGCGGCTGTGCAGCCATGCACCGTGGTGGTGACAGCGTGGTTTAAACTGGTGCCAGTGTGTGGCAGACGGTGGCGGCTGTGGGAACCAGGCTGGCCCACCATTAAAACACAGCACTGCGTGCTTGGCTCTTAGCAGGGAGGTTTCTCTTCCAGCCATTTGCTCGAGCTTTCCTTTGAAACATCCTCTCCAGCCACAAATCAGTAGGCAGCGCATTTCTGTGGGACGCGGACGTGCAAGCAAGAGATGGCTGCTCAGGCTCTGCTGCCTGGAATAGGGACACTGCTGCAAGGGCTTGCAGGGTACCTCAGGGAGAGCTTTTCCAAATTATCCCAGCTTCCATCTAACTGCTCTGGGAACTGTGAGATTGATGACTGGGAGATGTTGAAGCTGAATGAAGTGGGTAGCATGGTAATGGGACAGACCCACAGTTCTGCTAGCTGCAAGTCAATGTGGCTTGTGGGGTGCGTGCCTGGTCTGAGCTCCGCTGGGGGGGATGCAGAGAAGTGATGTTAAGTAATGGAGCATAGGTATAAGTGAAGCCTTACAGGGGCTGCCTCTGAAAGTCGTGCAGAAGGCTGGGTTTGTTTTTTCAGCTTGCTGATGCATCCACCGAGAGATGCGCGATTGCACGAGCGATGCTCTGCTGCTCCACCAGGTCAGCAGGTTTAGTTTTCCATCCATGAGATGAGAAAGAAAAGCCTTGAGAGCTGGGGAAGCAGGGCAGAAAAGTGTGGGCCAAAACAGACTGGGTCACTATTTGGGTACCTTAGCTGCAAATGGCTATCTGCGCCATTTCAGATAAGATACTCTAAATGTTGTGCCTTGCATTGAGCACAAGTTTGAGTTTGCTGTTCCGAATCCTGAAGCTTATTCTTGTTGCCGTCATCTTTCACATTTGGGTTTTATGGTTCCCGCTTCCAGAAGATGATGGCAACTTTATGGTTTTTGTATTTGTCCTTAGTCCATCTGTGAGCTGTCTGGACCTAATTGGAAGTAGCAATAATAATAATAACAACAACAGTTATCTGTTGTCTCTGGCTATCTGAAGTGCTGCATACACGCTCCTACAATAATACAGGTCAAAGAGGTTGAGACAGACAACCTGTCCCCAGATCTGTTGTACTTCAGATCTTCATTATGGTGAACTAATGGGCTTAGTCACCTGTTTGATGAACATCTCTTTCTTTTCAAGGATGGATTTGCTCTTAAGTAAAGCTTTGCAAAAACTGGGAAGTGCTGTGTCGGAGCTCTTGAATTTGGACCACTTCCAGGCCTGACATCCAGAAACTCATCCCTATGGGTGGTAAATATAAAGAGGTAAGCTCTTTCAGGTGTCCTGGAGGAAGAGTGCAAGAACAAATCATAGCTGAGTACTTGAAGCTGCTGTTGAATACACCAGATTTGTCAAGCCCCAGGGTGCAGGGCTGCTTGGCTAACACCAGACGCTGCGTACAGTCCCCTAGTCTACTGGAATTGTCTCCTTATATGAAATATGCTGCTTTGCCTGGGTAGTGAGCGAGGAGGAAAGCAGAATGCCCTGTGTCAAGAGCACTTCTTTTGAAAAGCTCTTGAACTTACAGTAAATCAGAAGGTCTGGGGAAACTTATCCAGCCTTTTAATTAGTGGGATGCTGGCTTTTTAGGGTATATTGCTTTGGCTGCAAGTGCTGTTCTGACTGTCTTGCAGTAGGGAGGTAGTAATGTGTTTGGGCGTTGGGGTTTTTTGGAGGGAGGGGTTGGAAAGCAAATTGTGATGTGGCAAATCAGAAGCAGAACTAATTATGCATGTGTATTTCATTACACCCCTGGGCTGGCTTATTCCTAATCCTGAGAGTCTGCTCATCCTTTGTGATGTGGGAGGCCATATACACGTAGGACCTGTTGACCCATTAAAAGTGAACCTTAAAGGTAATATCAGGAAGTGCTTCTGGAGCTAATACTAATATAACTAATACTGTGCTGCAGGCCGGGCAGTCATCTGTTGGAAATGGGTCACTGAAGCTAAACAAATTCACTCATCTGAGGCTCTGACCCATATGTAGATTTCAAACAGAGTGAACAAATTGTGAGGGTGCTATTTTTGCATTTACTTTGAATTCGAAACGATGACACAGTCTCAGTTCTTAGTCAGTCAGACTTCTAGTAGCACTGGATTTTTCTTAAAGGACTTGGGAGAATGACTCAAGGTTGAAAACTGGGACAAACAAGTTTATTTTTTTTTCTGTCAAATAGCATCCGCAGCCTTAAACAAATTATCTATTTGTTTGTTATTTTTAAAACTAGCCTGGGAATGAAAGACAGCTGCCTGCTTCTGTTTTCCTGCTTGAATTTACTTTCCAGCCTAGACCCGTGAGATTGGCAAAATGTCCGTTTGGACCCAAGAGAAGTTGCTGTTTGGGAAGAGTGGCTGCTGGTGGGAGCAAGGCTCCTTCTCGCTCCTGTCGAGGCTATAGCTGCAGCCCTGGAGGCAGCTGGCAGGGGTATGACCTTCTTTTCCTATAGCAGCTAATGTCAGAGGGCTCTATAGCTTCCTCGCCCAGTAGAGAGGAGAAGGAAGAGGACAGAGATGCTGCGACTTCTTGTGGCGCCTACAGTGTTGAGTTTTCGGTGGTGATAGATCACCCTAGTTGCTGCACGTGGTGACTGTTTACTTGTGTTCTGCTCACTAAATCAGCTTCCCCTAAGATTGTTCTGACTTGCTGAACCATCTGAGCAGCTTTCAACCACTGCCTTTTTTCCTTTTTTTTTTTTTTTTAAATGGAAAAGAAAAAACCCGACTTGATTAACTCCTTCCGACCCCTCCCACCTTTCTCTTAAGTGTGGAATTTCCCTCCCGTGGTGACACGTAGCTAAAGGGCAGGATTGGCAGCATTCAGAGCGGTACCAGGGATGATTCTATGTTAGCGGCTTGTGGACTGCAAAGCAGAGGACTAGAAACTGGAGAAGCTTCCCAAGCTGCACTTGGAAAGGGTGTTTACGGCTCCATGTATGGAGACCTACCTGGCAACTGCATTCTTGGTATTACCGTTAAGTATTGAGAGATGTTAGGAGAGAAAAGATGACTGTAGGCAAGGCATTGCCGGGCAGATGCCTTCTTTCCAAATCTACTGTACCTGTGCGAGGGAAAGACGTTTGGCCCTCCCGCTCCATGTTCTCTCCCTGGGCGCAGAGTGGGTTCCACACGGCTGTCCAGCTGGTGTGAGCACCAAAAGGAGCACAAGGCTTTTGAATAGCCTCTGAAGGGTGCGAGATAAGAGGAACCTTGCAAGGAGCTAAGCCTAACCTAAAGCTCTCCCTCCAGAGCGAGTCCTCCGCAGGTCCCTGCACGTTCCGTGGGGGGCTGCCTGCCTGCTGTGAGCCCCAGTGCTCCTGCAAGTCTGCATCGGAGGGGACTGCTGGAGACGGAGGAGCACGTCTCTTCCTCCGCTGCAGGCTGCATGTCAGCAGTCTGTGCTGCTCAGAGCACAGCTGCGCTGTCAGTGAGTGCGACTGGGTTAATGGAGTATGTCAAGGGACCAAGGGCAGGGTTTGGTGGTGAGCTACTGACTTGTCAGGCCTGGGGAAGTGGTATGTAACAGCTCAAGCTTCTCACACAGAATGAGCCTCTGGCTTGGGGCTGTGGTTTTTATGTTTATGCATATGTATGTATATACACACACACGCACGCGCAGAATCTGTATTTTTTTTATAGAATTGGAATGACTTGGATGGCTGATGGCAACACTGGGTTCAGGAATTTGCATTTCTGAAAACAGACAGCCTGGTGATGACACGAGGTGCAGGAGACGAGCAGGGTCATGACAGTAAGGGAGGGCACTTTGGACGCAACCCATGAGTGGAGGATGGTGACTGGGAGAGGGCAGCATCATCCCCTGGCCAGGGGAGATGTCCCTCTGGCAGAAACAGAAATTAAGGGGCTGGAAGGGCCTGAGCAGAACCATTCCTGGGATGTCAGCAGTGCCTGGTATCAGCGTTAAGTGGCCTCATTCCTGGCAGTCTCATTCCTGGCAGTCCCATCCCTAAAGTTGATGGTGTAACATTTCTTGAAGGGGTCTTGATCCAAAGACCTTTGTTTTCTCCTGACACAGTGAAACAGGCATGTCCTGGGATGAGGGAGTAGTTCGTGGGGTTTGGTGGGAAAGGCTCATTCCCATCTTCTGCTTCTTCTAAGTCCTGTTGTCTGTCCTTTTGTTGGAGAGGCATGAGGAAACCTTTCCACCTTTCACTGAATGACAAAGTGAATGATACTTGCCTGCTTTGGGAAATTTTTCCCTTCTGATTTGGGGTGTCATTTCCCCTTGCCAGTCTCAAGGCCACTCTGAAAAGCCCCTAAACATCCAACAGAGGGAAATCTCGAAATTCGAAAAAAAGACCTGCTAGGTTCAAACCAGCCTGCTGAAGGGTGTGCTGGGGAGCCCCTAACTGTGAATCATGGAAACCCAATGGATGCAGAGCTCTAAGGTGCTACCTTGCGCTGGTGGGGACCCAGCTGGAGCCCTTTCTGCATGTATTTCCTTGGTTGTCCCTACAGCTGTGGGTTAGGGACATACAGTAACTCCCTGGTACCCTCTTTGGTACTCTTGCTGCTCTCTTCTCCCTGTGAAGTGTCTTCACTTGCCCAGTTAGAAGTTACTGGGGTTGCCTCACTCTCCTTCTGTCCTGCAGGCTGGATGCAAAGGAGGAAGCATGGTAAAGGCAGCATCTTTCCAGGATCCATGGGCTCTTTGAGAGATGATCAGAGGGAGGCCAGATGATCTGCACAACACGCATGCCACTGTTTCTCATCCGCAAAGGCAGCATCGGAGCATTCTCCCCAGCCCCGTTCCCCCCGACTTGCCCGATCGTTTCCGGATGTTTCGCAGGTGTGAGTGGGAGGTCCTGGAGCGATCCCTCAATATACTCCAGGCCAGCGACTTCTACTGGGGCCCCTTGTCTGTGGGGGAGGCTCACGCCAAGCTCCAACGGGAGCCCGTCGGCACCTACTTGGTGCGGGACAGCTCACAGGGGAACTGCTTGTTCAGCCTGAGCGTGCGGATGCCGACGGGACCTGTCAGCCTTCGGATCTCTTTCCAGGAGGGCTATTTCCGCCTGAAGAACTGGTTTTCAGACTGCGTGGTCCAGCTGCTGGAGCTGGTGGTGGCAGGGACCCGGAACAACCCCTTGCACTTTGCTGAGATGGGGGGAACCCCCCTGGTCTTCTCCGAGCCCCTGTGCCGGAGCCGCCGGGCAGTGCCCACGCTACGAGAACTGTGCTGCCGGAGCCTGCCCGCTGGTGCCGCGACGGGGGACGGAGCAGGGCTGGGGGGCTCCTTGGGGATGCGCCCAAGGGAGGAGGTGGTCTCACCCACAGGCAGAAGGGGAGGGTCGGAGGGGAGCATCGTCCCCAGCCCCTCTCCGTCCTGGGCTGGGAGATGATGCCATGCGGGTGGGAGATGAAGGGAGGTGCCTATTACGTGGCTGTGCTGGTGGGACGCACGCCATGCCGGTGGGGCTGGACTGGCTGCTGGGAGAGGAAGGGGAGGGCAGGGGGAGCAGGGCTCGAACCCGCTGGCTGTGATAGCTGTGTCCTTGTACGTGCACAGCCTGCGTGGCCTTTCCCAGAGGTGCCTGGGGTAAACACAAGCTGAAGAGCAGAGATTTCCCCCCCACACCAAGTCCTGCTCTTTGCTCCATTTATAACTTATAAGCTTGAGAAGAAGGTGAGTTGCCTGTCATCCCAGGTCAGCCCTGTGTTTTCCTCTATCCCAAAGTGCTTAAGCTTGTTTCTGCTACAAATCTGCCCTCATGAGGTGGTATGGCTGAGTCCAGTCCCGCAGCAGTGCAGCTTGGGCATCGGTGGGCACAACCCATGTGCCAACCCAATACCCACATAGCTGCGGCAGAGCGAGAGCACGTTTTGCTCTTTGCAGCACGAATACGATGCCTGCCACTTCAGAGGCCAACGTTTGCACTAGAGGGAAACCATTGCAGCCATGTATGATACGTGCAGCTTCACTGGCTTTTGCGTTGCTTTATTTGAACAGATTTTTGGGAGTTCAGATGAGTTACATTATACTAAGAGCGTGGTATTCCTGCGGAGGTAACCCTGCTCTGGAGAGTTGGGTCTTCCCTGGGAGGGTGTGAACAGATGGGATCCAGGGCCCTTTCTTATGCTCATCTGATAGTATGCTGGTGCCACCTATAGAGCATAAAAGGGCATTTTGGTTTTGCCTCAAAAAGGGCAAAGAATTTTTTATATAAGACTTTTAAAAATTTTAATAAACATGTTTTTATACTTATTTTTAAAAGTCAATGAATACATGGTGATATTTTCATTCCCTTGCAGTGTTGGAAACCCCGTTAGTTTAGTGCCGAGACATGGCAATCAAACTGAAACTGAACAAGTGAACTTTCTTATAAAGACCAAAAGCAGCACGTAAATGAATGGTCCTAGCTGGGAACAATAAACTTCATTCATCTTATAATGTAATCAAGTAAAGAATTTTCTAAACATAAGATACTTCCTAAAAATGTAAGGGAGATTTTCAGAAGTATTTTCAGACCTTAAAATTTGTACTGAGTGTTTGAAAGAAACATGAGTAATTCAAGATCCTGGAAGACGGCACAGCGTCAGTGAACTTGAACTGGTGAGATGAGTACAAATGAGAGAAACGGAGCTTAAATAGGGATATGGTTCATTTCAGGGGTGTAGGCAGGTATGGTGTCTTTGAAACAAGTGACTGAAAACAGCTACGTGAAAGGAGAAATTAAGATACCGTAAAACTTGAGCCAGCCCATTTTGTGCACCGCCAAGGATCCACAGCCAAGCAGGCAGCCTGCTGAGCTCACGCTGACTTTCCCCTTCGGACTTGTATGGGGGAAAAAAATTACTCTGAATTTGCTCTTTTGGCTTCAGGTATCTTATCTGAGGAACCAAAGCATGCGGTCAGCACAGAGAGGGAGATAGAGGGTGTGATTCATCACAGGAGCCTAACTTCGATACTCTGAATTATTCTCTGGAGGGCTCTGCTGACAGCAAGGTGCCTGGCCTCCTATCTTGGGGCACTGGCCTACGAACTGAGGTAGTTAAATAAGTGCTGGAGAAGTGGCCGTCGTCTCCTTGCCACCCACTCCTCTCGGTCTCAGGGAGGCTGGTAGCCCTGCGGCTGCTGCGGCTCTCAGCCCAGTGCAAAAGCGCGAGCTGGGACTGTTCACTATCACAGGGTGCCTGCGCACGGTGGTGGCTGCCACGTGGCTACGGTGGTGTTTGCCGCTGGAGCTGTAATCTTGTGCAGGGACAGGGCAAAAAGTTAAGCAGGTAGTTGCATCCGTCATCGTCGCTGGGTCCATTAGAGGTGGTGAGTTGGAGCCCTCGGATGCCTGAGTCAGGCCGCGATGCCTTGGGGGAGGGCTGCGGTGCCCTGCGGTGCACCAGGCAGCGTCACGAGAGGGGCTGGGGTTCAGCCCACCCTGAGAGAATAGCCCTGTGCACCCCCTGCTCAAACACGCACCCTGTCTGGTTTCTCCAGCTCCTGAAGCAGCCCCGTCTGAGCACTGTAACCCGCACAAGGACTGGGGGTCTTGGCAGACAGCAAAGCTGAATCCTCCTGCAGGGTGTCTGGCAGCAAAGGCCAGCAGCATCCTGGGCTGCATTAACAGGAGCGCTGCCAGCAGCTGAGGGGAGTGATTACCTCCCTGTACTCACCACTCCTTAGACCCCAGTTAAAGTACTGCATCCAGTTTGGGGCTCCCTGGTGCAACAAAAATGTAATAAATTGGAGTGAGGTTGGGGGGGGGGGGACATGACCTCAAGAAGCTGAGGGGGCTGGAGCACTTGCCCTGCAAGGAGTGGCTGAGGGAGCAACAGCAGCCTGCCTGTACCTATGAGGAGGTCAGCAAGAAGCCGGGTTCACCGCAGTGGTGCACGGCAGACATAGGGAAAACAAGTCCAGGCTGGCTACGAAGAGACCCTTTTTCCCTTGAGGGTAGTCCAGTTGGGGGGCAGTTTGCCCAGAGAGGTACAGTCTCCACGCTTGGAAGTTTCAAGACCCAACCGGGTCAAGCCTGGAGCAAGCTGGTGTGGCCTTAGAGCTGGCCCTGGTGTGAGCCCCAGGACTAGAGACCTCCAGGGGTCCCTTGCCCTGAACAACTCTGTGGTCCTGCATTTCCCTAGGGCAGGGAGGTGGGACTAGCCATGGAGGAGGTGTGTGGGGGCTGCCTGTCACTGCAGGTGCTGTGCCTGCAAAGTCCCCTGCAGAGGGACTGGGATGGCGCCAGCACCAGCCAAGTGCAGTGGCGTGTTGGTGGATGGAAAACCACTTCCCTCCTACTTTCCCCACGCTTCGTGGAGTGCCCCTGGGTCATGCACGTGCTCTGGGTGCTGCTGCCTGCCGTGGATTTGGCCTGGTCTCAGGCACCATCCCATTGCTCACCCTCAATACTATTTGGGCAGAGCTCTGGCAGCGCACAAGTCTCCTGTAGCTCCTACACCTGCCCTGCCAGCCCCTGCAGGCATCTCGGGTGGCTCCAGGCACCTGTGTTTTGGGACTGCCCTGGCTCTCAGGTGTAAGCCCCTGACTCAGTGGGGTCAGCCACACAGCTGCCCTCCCTCTCTACCCCCTGCGGGAGGAGTGGGACCGGGTCTGCCACCCCAGGCACCCTGCCCGTCCCCTCGCTCCTTTTCTTCCTTGGGGGTGTTGTCGCCGAGGCACCTTGGCTGCCTTCCCTTCAGCAACCAGGGAAGGGGGGAAGGAGTGGGCTAATTTCTTCCACGTTTATAACCGAGCACAGGAATGCTTCTGTTTTATGGCCATGGTTATAGCTTGCTGAGGGAAGAGCTTTCTAACTGGATTGCTTTGACCTGGCTGTGAACCATTCTCATTTGGCCGAAAATGAGCATCTTGGGTTGTATGGCTGGGGGCTGCAGATGAGCCCCGTTTGCGGCCAGGATTGTGCCTGAGGAAAATCACACCAAGGGAGGAGGAAATAGTTTGGATTTTAATAAAGTCTGCTTTGTTTTGTTGTTTTTTTTTTTTTTTTTAATTGCACAGCAAGTGCTCAACTCTGTCTTACAAGTAAGTCAATTCCATGCAGAGCTGTAGCGAATTGATTTGAGATCTGTGGATGAAAAGCAGTGAATGACTGCCAAGCATTGTTATATTAGGAAAGTTTAAAGCACATTATGGGTGAGTATCCTCATTATTCCTGAGGAGAGGCCACTTTGCAGATCAGGATTGGTGCAAGAAAGGAAACCAATCTGGGAAGAACAGGAACGTGAAATGTACATTGGCTGCGGCCGGCTTTACAGAGTCTTCCTCTGTTTTCTGTTTGGATGTTAGAAGACAAACCTTTTTCTTTCAGCTCTTGAGAAAAATATGTACAAAGCAAAACCATAAGAGTTTACTTCCATGAGGTGACTGGAAACGATGTCCTGCTGCTTTCATTAACGAGCGGGAGACGCTCACTTTAATCACCCTGCCTCTGAACCGGTCCCTCTGCCACGTAGGAGCAGCTCCTGGTGGCCCGCATCCAAATGTTTCTTTTGGTGGCTCCTAAGGGGACTTACAAAGAAATTGCAAACTTCCTCACAACCTCTTGAGCACTATTTGGGGAACAGAAGAAAATTGTTTGCATTTTTATATGTTATGTTATACATTTCTCCAGCTGACTCATTTCAGTTTGTCCAGGAAACTTACACAGCCTCACAGATGGTTTTTTTCAACCGTTCTTCCTAACAGCAGAAGTTGAAAAGTTTAGTCCTTGTGAGAGGGGCTTCCTCTACCAGGCTGCAAAGGGCCTGGATTTCAGTCCCAACACGCCACAGGCATCCAGCAGGAAACTGCTCTTCATCTGCTCCTGACTAGCTGTCTGTTAGCAGTGCTCTGGGGCCCCAAGGGTTAATTTCCCAAAATCCTTCGCTGAAACTTGTTAATAACTTCCATATGTACCCATGTGTGTGCACAGGGGGGGCCCCACAGCCAGCAGCTCTTGTAATAATACTTGATTACCTCTGACATAAGGGTCTGTATGCCATTAGGGATCTGCCTTGATGGATCAGGATTCACCGAAAAACACAAGCTTGTGCAAAAGCATTTCAAAAAATGTATTAACATTTGGGCATCCTCAGTGTTTGGGAATGAGCTCCTCCTAGGTAGGCAAGCTTCAAAATAAAACCTTCTGTGTACACAAAGCTGGGTCTCAAGTTTTGGACCCTTGCCCTGACGTCCCTCCGAAAACGTGTATTTGCGTCATTAAGTCTCTAAACATGCTAAACTCCTCAATGTACAAGGATACCTTGGTTAGGGGAATGTGATGGCTTTGTGTAACTGAGTTCATTTTGCACCAGTTCCTTAGACGTTTGTCATCTGTAAAGTTATAATAACTGCATGCACTGGAGCTTTCTGCTTGCCCTGCGCCGCTGCCTGGTGCAAACGTAG